CAGGACAACAACCTCTCCCTCAACGTGACCAAGACAAAGGAGATGATTGTGGACTACAGGAAAAAAAAGAGGACTGAGCACGCCCCCATTCTCATCGACGGGGCTGTAGTGGAACAGGTTGAGAGCTTCAAGTTCCTTGGTGTCCACATCACCAACGAACTATCATGGTCCAAACACACCAAGACAGTCGTGAAGAGGGCACGACAAAGCCTATTCCCCCTCAGGAGACTAAAAAGATTTGGCATGGGTCCTCAGATCCTCAAAAAATTATACAGCTGCACCATCGAGAGCATCCTGACTGGTTGCATCACCGCCTGGTATGGCAACTGCTTGGCCTCTGACCGCAAGGCACTACAGAGGGTAGTGCGTACGGCCCAGTACATCACTGGGGCAAAGCTCCCTGCCATTCAGGACCTCTATACCAGGCGGTGTCAGAGGAAGGCCCTCAAAATTGTCAAAGACTCCAGCCACCCTAGTCATAGACTGTTCTCTCTGCTACCGCATGGCAAGCGGTACCGGAGTGCCAAGTCTAGGTCCAAAAGACTTCTCAACAGCTTCTACCCCCAAGCCATAAGACTCCTGAACAGCTAATCATGGCTACCCGGACTATTTGCACTGCCCCCCCACCCCATCCTTTTTACGCTGCTGCTACTCTGTTAAGTATTTATGCATAGTCACTTTAACTCTACCCACATGTACATATTACCTCAACTACCTCAACTAGCCGGTGCCCCCGCACATTGACTCTGCAACGGTACCCCCCTGTATATATAGCCTCCCTACTGTCACTTTATTTTACTGTATATATAGCCTCCCTACTGTCACTTTATTTTACTTCTGCTCTTTTTTTCTCAACACTTTTTTTGTTGTTGTTTTATTCTTACTTTTTTTGTTTAAAATAAATGCACTGTTGGTTAAGGGCTGTAAGTAAGCATTTCACTGTAATGTCTGCACCTGTTGTATTCGGCGCATGTGACCAATAAAATTTGATTTGATTTGATTTGATTTGCCAAAGAACACCAAGATTGGCAAATTCGCCACTGGCGCCCTGTGCTCTTCACAGATGAAAGCAGGTTCACACTGAGCACATGTGACAGACGTGACAGAGTCTGGAGACGCCGTGGAGAACGTTCTGCTACCTGCAACATCCTCCAGCATGACCGGTTTGGCGGTGGGTCAGTCATGGTGTGGGGTGGCATTTCTTTGGGGGGCCGCACAGCCCTCCATGTGCTCGCCAGAGGTAGCCTGACTGCCATTAGGTACCGAGATGAGATCCTCAGACCCCTTGTGAGACCATATGCTGGTGCGGTTGGCCCTGGGTTCCTCCTAATGCAAGACAATGCTAGACCTCATGTGGCTGGAGTGTGTCAGCAGTTCCTGCAAGAGGAAGGCATTGATGCTATGGACTGGCCCGCCCGTTCCCCAGACCTGAATCCAATTGAGCACATCTGGGACATCATGTCTCGCTCCATCCACCAACGCCACGTTGCACCACAGACTGTCCAGGAGTTGGCGGCTGCTTTAGTCCAGGTCTGGGAGGAGATCCCTCAGGAGACCATCCGCCACCTCATCAGGAGCATGCCCAGGCGTTGTAGGGAGGTCATACAGGCACGTGGAGGCCACACACACTACTGAGCCTCATTTTGACTTGTTTTAAGGACATTACATCAAAGTTGGATCAGCCTGTAGTGTGGTTTTCCACTTTAATTTTGAGGGTGACTCCAAATCCAGACCTCCATGGGTTGATAAATTTGATTTCCATTGATAATTTTTGTGTGATTTTGTTGTCAGCACATTCAACTATGTAAAGAAAAAAGTATTTAATAAGATTATTTCATTCATTCAGATCTAGGATGTGTTATTTTAGTGTTCCCTTTATTTTTTTGAGCAGTGTACATATGAGATGAGGAGTGCAAGATATGTAAACATTATTAAAGTGACTTGTGTTCCATTTCTTAAAGTGGCCAGTGATTTCAATAGGCAGCAGCAGCCTCTAATGTGCTAGTGATGGCTATTTAACAATCTGATGGCCTTGAGATAGAAGCTTTTTTTCATTCTCTTGGTCCCAGCTTTGATGCACCTGTACTGATCTCGCCTTCTGGATGATAGCGGGGTCAACAAGCAGTGGCTCGGGTGGTTGATGTCCTTGATGATCTTTTGGCCTTCCTGTTACATCGGGTGCTGTATGTGTCTTGGAGGGCGGATAGTTTGCCCCCGGTAATGCGTTCGGCAGACCGCACCACCCTCTGGAGAGCCCTGCGGTTGTGGGCGGTGCAGTTGCCGTACCAGGCGGTGATACAGCCCGACAGGATGCTCTCAATTGTGCATCTGTAAAAGTTTGTGAGGGTTTTAGGTGCTAAGCCAAATGTATTCAGCCTCCTGAGGTTGAAGAGGCTATGTTGCGCCTTCTTCACCACACTGTCTGCGTGGGTGGACCATTTCAGTTTGTAGGTGATGTGTATGCGACGGAACTTGAAGCTTTCCACCTTCTCCACTGCGGTCCCGTCGATGTGGATAGGGGGGTGCACCCTCTGCTGTTTCCTGAAGTCCACGATCATCTCCTTTGTTTTGTTGATGTTGAGTGAGAGGTTATTTTCCTGGCACCACACTCCCAGAGCCATCACCTCCTCCCTGTAGGCGGTCTCGTCATTGTTGGTAATCAAGCCTACTACTGTTGTGTCGTCTGCAAACTTGATGATCGAGTTGGAGGCGTGCTTGGCCACGCAGTCATGGGTGAACAGGGAGTACAGGAGGGGGCTGAGCACGCACCCTTGTGGGACCCCAGTGTTGAGGATCAGCGAAGTGGAGATGTTGTTTCCTACCTTCACCACCTGGGGGCGGACGGTCAGGAAGTCCAGGACCCAGTTGCACAGGGCGGGGTTCAGACCCAGGGCCTCGAGCTTAATGATGAGCTTGGAGGGTACTATGGTGTTGAATGCTGAGCTATAGTCAATGAACAGCATTCTTACGTAGGTATTCCTCTTGTCCAGATGGGATAGGGCAGTGTGCAGTGTGATGGCGATTGCATCGTCTGTGGATATATTGGGGCGGTAAGCAAATTGAAGTGGGTCTAGGGTGACAGGTAAGGTAGAGGTGATATGATCCTTGACTAGTCTCTCAAAGCACTTCATGATGACAGAGGTGAGTGCTACAGGGCGATAGTCATTTAGTTCAGTTACCTTTGCTTTCTTGGGTACAGGAACAATGGTGGCCATCTTGAAGCATGTGGGAACAGCAGACTGGGAAAGGGAGAGATTGAATATTTCCATAAACACCAGCCAGCAGGTCTGCGCATGCTCTGAGGCCGGCAGCCTTGCGGGGGTTAACATGCTTAAATGTCTTAATCACGTCGGCCATGGAGAAGGAGAGGCCACAGTCCTTGGTAGTGGGCCTCGTCAGTGGCACTGTGTTATCCTCAAAGCGGGCGAAGAAGGTGTTTACTCTGTTTATTATCAATGCATAGTCACTTTACCTCTACCTACATTTACATATTATGTAAACTACCTCGACTAACCTGTGCCCCCGCACATTGACTCTGTACCGGTACCCCCTTTATATAGCCTCACTACTGTTATTTTTACTGTTGCTCTTTAATTGTTTTTGATTTTTGTTATTTTTTATATTTTACTTCAGTTTATTTTAGTAAATACTTTAACTCTTTTTTTTTCTTAAAACTGCATTGTTGGTTAAGGGCTTGTAAGTAAGCATTTCACTGTAAGGTCTACACTTGTTGTATTCCGTGCATGTGACAAATAAAATGTTATCATTGATTTGAAGGGACTGGATAGGTGAAAACAAAATGGTGATGGTGAGTGACTTTCTTAGGCTATAAAGGGGATAGATGGAGACATGACTACATTAGGCTACTTAGCTAAATTTACAGTACGTATGTCACAGTTCTTTCTCTAAACAGAAATATATCATTAATGTTGTCGGCTACATGTCGGCAAAAGCCACAGTACCATATGCCGTATCGTTGTGGTATTGTCCCAATCAAAAACATCCAATGCATTTTACGCCAGTCAGGACGGTTTCTGATTGGTCAGATTGGAAGGCTCATGCCGTAAACCGTTACGTTCAGAACCCATGGTAAGGTACGTAACCGTGTGTATTCTATCTGCTGTGTAGGAACATCTTACAATAATGTTGTTTACATGTTTCTTTTGTCAGTGAAAATATATCTACCAGACATGTTTCATTATTGCACATCATACCTTATCTGTTCAGTTCTCTCTGGCCTACCAGGGTTAGTAGCTAGCTACTGTATTTAGCTGGAAAACACAGCACATGCAGTATACAAGCTGGAACTATGATTAGTACATAATGTAAACTGCAACTACCTACTGATCATGCGGGTTGTCATCTTTCGTTTGAATAGTGAGTTCTTAAAAATGGAACCTAAAAATAAACCCTTTTCCCCTAAAGGTGACAAGAACTTCATACACAACGGGAAAGGTAAGGGAATTTTTGTTGTTGTTGTTTTTTAAGTGGTTTAATGATGCCCTGGATAAAACAACTTGTAGGCCTAACTGACTAGCTACAAATTCTGTTCAGAAGGTACAAGTAAACCTGGGACCAAACCAACAGGTAAACCACCAGGAAAAAGGCAATTCAAACCACTAGTGGCGCAGTGGTCTAAGGCACTGCATCACAGTGCTAACTGTGCCACTAGAGATCCTGGTTCGAATCCAGGCTCTGTCGCAGCCGGCCGCGACCGGGAGACTCATGGGCGGCGCACAATTGGCCCAGCGTCGTCCAGGGTAGGGGAGGGAATGGCCGGCAGGGATGTAGCTCAGTTGATAGAGCATGGCATTTGCAATGCCAGGGTTGTGGGTTCGTTTCCCACGGGGGGCCAGTATAAAAAATTAATAAAATGTATTCACTAACTGTAAGTCGCTCTTGATAAGAGCGTCTGCTAAATGACTAAAATGTAAATGTAAGACCGGAGGAAATGGGACTCCACAGAAATTCTTGAACAAAAAACCCACAGATGGAAAGTTCACCAAACCCAAAGATGCAAAGTTCACCAAAAAGAGAAAGTTCACTCCTGGGAAGGGCAAGGAAGAGGAAGGTATGAAATGTGTACAGTCTCCAATTCCAACGTTTTTAATAGGCTAACAGTACTTTTTGTATTTATTATGGACCCCCATTAGCTGCTGCCAAGGAAGCAGACTCTTCCTGGGGTCCAGCAACATAAGACAGTTACATACAGTTTAAAATACTACATGACATTACATTTCATAATGGCATGCTGAAGATTTTTTATGGTATTTCATGAAATAGGTATATTTCTTAGATTCTAAGTTGCATGAATCTACATCTACGTATGAATGATCAGCGATCACACTAATGGTGGAATGCTTGTCTGTCTGTTTGCTCAGGTTCTGAGACCAAGAAACCCAAATGGGACGAATTCAAACAGCAGAAGAAGGAACTGAAACAGAACCGGCAGCAGACTGAGAAAAAGGAGAGTTATCAAATAGTGAGCAGAGCCAAGCAGGAGTGGGAGATGGTCAGAAGGTAGGCTAAACCAGCTACTCTATTATACTGAACAAAAATATAAAAGCAACATGTAGTGTTGGTCCCTTATTTCATGAGCTGAAATAAAAGATCCCAGAAATGTTCCATATGCACAAAAATATTGTTTCTCTCAAATTCTGTGCACAAATATGTTTACGTCCTTGTTAGTGAGCATTTCTCCTTTGCCAAGAGAATCCATCCACCTGACAGGTGTTGCATATCAAGAAGCTGATTAAACAGCATGATCATTACACAGGTGCACCTTGTGCTGGGGACAATAAAAGGTCACCAAAATGTGCAGTTTTGTGACATAACACAATGCCACAGATGTCTCAAATTAAGGGAGTGTGCAATTGGCATGCTGACTGCAGGAATATCCACCAGAGCTGTTGCCAGAGAATTGAATGTTAATTTCTCTACCAACCGGCCTCACAACCGCATACCACATGTAACCACGCCAGCCCAGGACCTCCACATCTGGCTTCTTCACATGCGGGATCATCTGAGACCAGCCACATGGACAGCTGATGAAAATTAGGAGTATTTCTGTCTGTAATACTGCCCTTTTGTGTGGAAAAACTCATTCTGATTGGCTGGGCCTGGCTCCCCAGTGGGTGGGCCTATGCCCACCCATGGCTGTGCCCATAGATTAGGGCCTAATTCATTTATTTCAATAGACTGATTTCCTTATGAACTAACTCAGTGAAATTGTTGCATGTTGGGTTTATATTTTTGTTCAGTATAGTTATTGTGCCAGCAGTCTTACAAAACGTCCTTCCTTTTTATTGGGGGAGCGATTAGGTTGCATGTATTTAGACCTGTACTTATTTATTATGTATCCCTTTATTTCAATACAGGAAAGACTGCGACAAAGAGAAGAGGATCAAACTCATGAAAGAGCTTCAGGAACTTGTTAAAGGAAAGATCAAAACAGTGAGTACAGGATGACATTTACATTGCTGAAAGGCAGCATTCAAATCTATAATTTAGATTGTACATTATCGCAATTGACACTGCACAAATTGAGAGCATAGCACAATGGAGGATTTAAATAAGAGGCCGTCTGCGATCTTTTAAGGTACTTACTACTGTATAGTGTCTGTTCCAGGTGTGTAGGAGTCAAGGCACGACTCCAACACCATCATTAAGTTTGCCGATGACACAACAGTGGTAGGCCTGATCACCGACAACGATGAGACAGCCTATAGGGAGGAGGTCAGAGACCTGGCCGTGTGGTGCCAGGATAACAACCTCTCCCTCAACGTGACCAAGACAAAGGAGATGATTGTGGACTACAGGAAAAAAAAAGAGGACTGAGCATGCCCCCATTCTCATCGACGGGGCTGTAGTGGAACAGGTTGAGAGCTTCAAGTTCCTTGGTGTCCACATCACCAACGAACTATCATGGTCCAAACACACCAAGACAGTCGTGAAGAGGGCACGACAAAGCCTATTCCCCCTCAGGAGACTGAAAAGATTCGGCATGGGTCCTCAGATCCACAAAAAATTATACAGCTGCACCATCGAGAGCATCCTGACTGGTTGCATCACCGCCTGGTATGGCAACTGCTTGGCCTCCGACCGCAAGGCACTACAGAGGGTAGTGTGTACGGCCCAGTACATCACTGGGGCCAAGCTTCCTGCCATCCAGGACCTCTATACCAGGCGGTGTCAGAGGAAGGCCCTCAAAATTGTCAAAGACTCCAGCCACCCTAGTCATAGACTGTTCTCTCTGCTACCGCACGGCAAGCGGTACCGGAGTGCCAAGTCTAGGTCCAAAAGACTTCTCAACAGCTTCTACCCCCAAGCCATAAGACTCCTGAACAGCTAATCATGGCTACCCGGAGTATTTGCACTGCCCCCCCACCCCATCTTTTTACGCTGCTGCTACTCAGTTAATTATTTATGCATAGTCACTTTAAGTCTACCCACATGTACATATTACTTCAACTACCTCAACTAGCCGGTGCCCCCGCACATTGACTCTGCACCGGTACCCCCCTGTATATATAGCCTCCCTACTGTTATTTTATTTTACTTCTGCTCTTTTTTTTCTCAACACTTTTTTGTTGATGTTTTATTTTACTTTTTTATTAAAAATAAATGCACTGTTGGTTAAGGGCTGTAAGTAAGCATTTCACTGTAATGTCTGCACCTGTTGTATTCAGCGCATGTGGCCAATAAAATTTGATTTGATTTGATTTGAAAATAAGAATACTGGAAAAGATGGAGACGTGCACACTGTAAAACAAAAAAATAATAAATCCAAAACTGATGCTTGAATGCAAAATAAAGATGTTTATTAAAACATCATGATGCACAAAAAAATCATTGCATAAATGAAAGGTGAAAACAAATATTTTTGCCTCAGGCCATCATCAGTTTGAATGTCGGCACACACGCCTGGCTTCTATTTCAGGATAATTGCATGTCACATGATCAAGAAGGCAACGCATCAGAAAATCTATGAATCAGTGCCTAGTAGAATAGAATGCATGATCTAGATTATATAAAAAAATATACAAAAGCGGACAGAGAAATGTCATCAATTATTGCTTTTACATATACCATGTGAACATTACCTCAGAATAAATAAGATAGAATTGTAAGAGTAGGGAGCTAGAGATACCACTAGATGGGGGTATCGAACACCAATAAGAGGCAAAATACCAGTTACAGAAAACACTTCAATAACAATTCTTCATTCATGCCGAATGGGTGGAGAGTTTTTAAATATAACATCCACCAGCATTCTGTCTGGAGAAGACTAAGTTCAAGATTACCACCCCTACGTGAACGTTTTATCTGTTGTATAGCACATCTTTATTTTGCATTCAAGCGTCAGTTTTGGATTTATTCCTCTTTTTGTTGACAGTGTGCGGTTCTCCATCTCTTACAATAGAGAATTTGCCATCCACTGAAATTAATGGACAGACAATGACTGTCAATACTTGAATACTATAAAACAGTTGAGCACAATAGACATTCAAATTCGTTTTCAGTGCATGACATCCAAATGCTCAACTCAAGTTTGCGGATAAAGTTAACATCCTTTTTCTTATTCAGATAGCATTTGCTCACGACTCCACCAGAGTCCTCCAGTGTTTTATCCGGTTTGGAAACGACAAGCAAAGACAAGTTTTTGATGAACTCAAAGGTCAGTAGTTTGTTAAGCGGTACTGGAGCGCCAAGTCTAGGTCCAAAAGGCTTCTTAACAGCTTCTACTCCCAAGCCATAAGACTCCTGAACAGCTAATCATGGCGACCTGCACCAGGCTGGGAAGACTGAATCTGCAATAGGTAAGCAGCTTGGTTTGAAGAAATCAACTGTGGGAGCAATTATTAGGAAATGGAAGACATACAAGACCACTGATAATCTCCCTCGATCTGGGGCTCCACGCAAGATCTCACCCCGTGGGGTCAAAATGATCACAAGAACGGTGAGCAAAAATCCCAGAACCACACGGGGGGACCTAGTGAATGACCTGCAGAGAGCTGGGACCAAAGTAACAAAGCCTACCATCAGTAACACACTACGCCGCCAGGGACTCAAATCCTGCAGTGCCAGACGTGTCCCCCTGCTTAAGCCAGTACATGTCCAGGCCCGTCTGAAGTTTGCTAGAGTGCATTTGGATGATCCAGAAGAGGATTGGGAGAATGTCATATGGTCAGATGAAACCAAAATATTACTTTTTGGTAAAAACTCAACTCGTCGTGTTTGGAGGACAAAGAATGCTGAGTTGCATCCAAAGAACACCATACCTACTGTGAAGCATGGGGGTGGAAACATCATGCTTTGGGGCTGTTTTTCTGCAAAGGGACCAGGACGACTGATCCGTGTAAAGGAAAGAATGAATGGGGCCATGTATCGTGAGATTTTGAGTGAAAACCTCCTTCCATCAGCAAGGGCTTTGAAGATGAAACGTGGCTGGGTCTTTCAGCATGACAATGATCCCAAACACACCGCCCGGGCAACGAAGGAGTGGCTTCGTAAGAAGCATTTCAAGGTCCTGGAGTGGCCTAGCCAGTCTCCAGATCTCAACCCCATAGAAAATCTTTGGAGGGAGTTGAAAGTCCGTGTTGCCCAGCGACAGCCCCAAAACATCACTGCTCTAGAGGAGATATGCATGGAGGAATGGGCCAAAATACCAGCAACAGTGTGTGAAAACCTTGTGAAGACTTACAGAAAACGTTTGACCTGTGTCATTGCCAACAAAGGGTATATAACAAAGTATTGAGAAACTTTTGTTATTGACCAAATACTTATTTTCCACCATAATTTGTAGGATTTTTAATGAATTTATTTGCAATGTGGTTTTCTAGAGAAAAAAAATCTCAATTTGTCTGTCATAGTTGACGTGTACCTATGATGAAAATTACAGGCCTCTCTCATCTTTTTAAGTGGGAGAACTTGCACAATTGGTGGCTGACTAAATACTTTTTTCCCCCACTGTACATAAAACATGGCGTAATACAGAACGCCAACAGACAGTTACAGCTGAAGGACAGAGCTACATAAAACCGGTGCCCCTGCACATTGACTCTGTACCGGTACCCTCTGTATATAGCCTCCCTACTATTATTTTATTTTACTGCAGCTTTTTTTTTTTTTTACTTAACACTTTTTTTTATTTTCTTAACTGCATTGTTGGTTAAGGGCTTGTAAGTAAGCATTTCACTGTAAGGTCTACACCTGTTGTATTCGGCGCATGTGGCAAATCATATTTGATTTGTTCTGTTCTAATGTTCTGTTATTCCCTGAGTAATGAGTCAGTTGTTTTTGTCATGTCAATCACAATGCTCAATGATGTTATCCTGTTCCGTAGATGATATGGTCGAGCTGAGTAAATCAAAGTATGCCAGAAATATTGTGAAGAAGTTCTTAATGTATGGGTAAGTGAGCCTTTTGCTTTCTAGAAATTTTGCATTTACATAAAGTCGTAGCACTAGCAATACATGTAGTATTTTCATATCTGATATTAGCATTAGATCCTGGCAGGAAAGCTGGCCAAAATAGTCAAAACTAAATAAAAGGGTCATCTTGTTGAATAAATAATCATTGTAAATCTATGCATGATGTACAGTGGGGAGAACAAGTATTTGATACACTGCCGATTTTGCAGGTTTTCCTACTTACAAAGCATGTAGAGGTCTGTAATTTTTATCATAGGTACACTTCAACTGTGAGAGACGGAAAATCACAGAAAAAATCCAGAAAATCACATTGTATGATTTAAGTAATTAATTTGCATTTTATTGCATGACATAAGTATTTGATACATCAGAAAAGCAGAACTTAATATTTGGTACAGAAACCTTTGTTTGCAATTACAGAGATCATACGTTTCCTGTAGGTCTTGACCAGGTTTGCATAGACTGCAGCAGGGATTTTGGCCCACTCCTCCATACAGACCTTCTCCAGATCCTTCAGGTTTCGGGGCTGTCGCTGGGCAATACGGACTTTCAGCTCCCTCCAAAGATTTTCTATTGGGTTCAGGTCTGGAGACTGGCTAGGCCACTCCAGGACCTTGAGATGCTTCTTACGGAGCCACTCCTTAGTTGCCCTGGCTGTGTGTTTCGGGTCGTTGTCATGCTGGAAGACCCAGCCACGACCCATCTTCAATGCTCTTACTGAGGGAAGGAGGTTGTTGGCCAAGATCTCGCGATACATGGCCCCATCCATCCTCCCCTCAATACGGTGCAGTCGTCCTGTCCCCTTTGCAGAAAAGCATCCCCAAAGAATGATGTTTCCACCTCCATGCCTCACGGTTGGGATGGTGTTCTTGGGGTTGTACTCATCCTTCTTCTTCCTCCAAATACGGCGAGTGGAGTTTAGACCAAAAATATATATTTTTGTCTCATCAGACCACATGACCTTCTCCCATTCCTCCTCTGGATCATCCAGATGGTCATTGGCAAACTTCAGACGGGCCTGGACATGCGCTGGCTTGAGCAGGGGGACCTTGCGTGCGCTGCAGGATTTTAATCCATGACGGCGTAGTGTGTTACTAATGGTTTTCTTTGAGACTGTGGTCCCAGCTCTCTTCAGGTCATTGACCAGGTCCTGCCGTGTAGATCCCTCACGATCATTGATGCCGCACGAGGTGAGATCTTGCATGGAGCCCCAGACCGAGGGTGATTGACCGTCATCTTGAACTTCTTCCATTTTCTAATAATTGCGCCAACAGTTGTTGCCTTCTCACCAAGCTGCTTGCCTATTGTCCTGTAGCCCATCCCAGCCTTGTGCAGGTCTACAATTTTATCCCTGATGTCCTTACACAGCTCTCTGGTCTTGGCCATTGTGGAGAGGTTGTGTCTGTTTGATTGAGTGTGTGGACAGGTGTCTTTTATACAGGTAACGAGTTCAAACTAGGTGCAGTTAATACAGGTAATGAGTGGAGAACAGGAGGGCTTCTTAAAGAAAAACTAACAGGTCTGTGATAGCCGGAATTCTTACTGGTTGGTAGGTGATCAAATACTTATGTCAGGCAATAAAATGCAAATGAATTACTTAAAAATCATACAATGTGATTTTCTGGATTTTAGTTTTAGATTCCGTCTCTCACAGTTGAAGTTATGATAAAAATTACAGACCTCTACATGCTTTGTAAGTAGGAAAACCTGCAAAATCGGCAGTGTATCAAATACTTGTTCTCCCCACTGTACATGATTCAACAGTAATCCTTTGTGATCGCATTTAAAATTAATATTGGCGTGCGGCTTGATCTAATCTGTGGTTGAATTTACTGATCATTTGCTTAGAAGACATAAAAAATGGGAATCAAGTCAATAATTCAAAACTCCACTCATTGTAACCTTCTCTGTAATCCTGACCTTGGCTGAAGATACCAGCTGTTTTTGAGAATAATCTGATTTCATGGCTCAGATATTAAAATGAGGGGAAATGTTATCCCAGTATGAAGGCATATCTTGTAGGATTAATATAAAGGTCATAATTTGATTGAGTCTCTACTCACTACTAGTTTATCTGGCATGCAGTGATGTTTACAGATTAAATAAGTAATCTGACGTCAGGTGTGTGTGTATCGTGTCCCACAGGAGCAAAGAGCAGGTTACAGGTGTGATGGTGGGCTTCAAAGTGAGGCAGATGCTGCGTCACTCGGAGGCGTCGTCGGTGGTGGAGTACGCTTACAACGACAAGGCTATCCTCTCTGAGACTCCTGCTCACTGAGGAGCTCTACGGAACCACATTCCAAGTCTTCAAGGTCAGGACACCTCCAACACCTCTCCCACTGTAGCAAAGTGTTGTTCTAAGTAATAGTATAGTTCTAAGCAGTAGTGTAGTTCTTCTCATACACCTCTTCTCTAGTTCAGTGAAAGTCTTGAACAGACTGCATAATCCCGTTACCAATAAATCGTCTTTCTGATTGCTTGTCTCTGAATATCTGCTGGTGTGGATGATATGCAGAATCTTACTGACACTTGGTGTTTGTTCCCAGTCGGCAGTGTGCCCCACGCTAGAGAAGGTGCTGGAGGCTAACCCAGACAAGGTTAATGGCATTTTGGAGGAGATGAAACAGATCCTTACCCCCATGGCCACAAAGTGAGCATTATTGAGCACACACACCTCTAACCCTTCACTCTGCACACAGGAAATGATCAAATAAATCAAAATACTGCTTTTGATTTCTGTCCATGTTATCTTTTCCCACAGAGAGGCTGTGATCAAACATTCTCTGGTGCACAAAGTATTTCTGGACTTCTTCCTGCATGCCCCAGCCAAACAAAGGACTGTAAGTAGAACCACCAATGACTGAATAAATTACTGAATCCTACATTTTGATCATGTGACTTAACAGGAAATGATTGAGTCGATAAGGGAGTCTGTGGTTTATATGGCCCACACCCACGATGGAGCTAGAGTAGAAATGCGCTGCCTGTGGCATGGGACACCTAAGGTGAGTATTCACTTAGGCCTTCTAGAGAGATGATCCTCACCAACCACAGACTAGTGTGTGTCCTGTGCATGTATGTACACTGATTTATTGGTTCTGTCTTTCAGGACAGAAAAGTCATCATTAAAACCATGAAGACGTACATTGAGAAGTTTGCAACGGTCAGCCAACACAACAGACAATTTGATCGCCGCGGTCAGACATGCAAATATGTAAACGTCAGTGTGTGTGGCTGCACTGGGCCTTTAACATACCTTAATTGCTATTGTGAGGCAATTGGACAGAAATGATGAGATGCCATCCATGCTTCATGCTTTATATAGTCTATACTTTAAAGGATCTGTCTCCATCTGACCCTTTGTCCCTGTAGCAAGAAGGACGTTGCCCTTCGTCGTAAGGAGCTCCTGGAGGCGGTGTCTCCGCCTCTGATTCAGCACCTGTGTGACCACGCCCGCACCATGGTGATGGACAAGGCCTCCAGCGTCACCGTTAGTGAAATTCTGGGGTCCGCCATCGGGGACCTGCGTCCTGCCATGGAGGCTGTCGCTGAGCTGGCCGCTGACGACTTCACACCAGGAGGAGTGGAGGGGCAGGTGAGGACGGGACGGGGCGGGTGAGGAGGGGACGGGGGCGTGGTGTGTCATATTAGAGATCCTCCAGTACTTTTTTTACTTTTTAGCCAGTAGTTCTGAAAGTAGCACTCACCAGCCAAATGTGGTCCCCAGAAATGTCATACTACAAGTGCAGATATGTGCACCACATCATTGCGCTCCCTCTCTCTACTGTGTGTGCATTAGCTGTCACCCAAATGGCGAGGGACTGAAGCTCATTGGCTAGAACTTGAATTGCTAGGGGGCTGGCCCACATGGGGGAAAATGTAGGGAAAATGGCGCAGCGCAACTTTCATCAAACTAGAGATTTTGTTGCTAATTTAGGTAAGACAGTAGTTCTGCTCATAGATGATGCATGTATGAACTGCACATTGACACATCCAGGCCAAATCGGGAGGTTTAAAAAATACTTAGTAATTGCAAATGTTCCGGAGCATGTCTTTAAAGTAGGAGAATTAAGTAGTCTCTCATAGGTGAGAATTGCAATTGTTTTGACGTCTCCATTGGGTTAGCTTTTTCAGTCTGTTTGGTCAACTGCGCGATGATTGAACTGGCTTGATATCAGGAACACTTAAAATGGTAAAATCTGTGGTCTCTACTGTCCTCTAGCAAGTGCTTGGTATTCAGTGTGAACATGTTTTCCTCCTCTGTATCCTGTTCTATAGCTGCACATGGCTGAACACCCTGCCGGGCATCTGGTGCTCAAGTGGCTGATCGAACAAGACAAGATGAAGGAGGCCGAGAGAGAGAGAAGGTACGACTGACTGCACAAATATCACCCAACATTTTTATTAAAATAAAATAAAATATGAAGACCTGTAGGCCTGACTGCACAAATATGACCCGCAGGCCTGACTGCACAAATATGACCCGCAGGCCTGACTGCACAAATATGACCTGTAGGCCTGACCGCACAAATATGACCTGTAGGCCTTACTGCACAAATATGACCCGCAGGCCTGACTGCACAAATATGACCTGTAGGCCTGACCGCACAAATATGACCTGTAGGCCTGACCGCCCAAATATGACCCGCAGGCCTGACTGCACAAATATGACCCGCAGGCCTGACTGCACAAATATGACCTGTAGGCCTGACCGCAAAAATATCACCTCACAGTTATGAACTTGATGCGGTATTCTACTCGCAGACAACTGCAAAAATGGCTGTGGACGTGTCCATATTGACTCGGGACTCTATCCTGTATCCCCCTGACCATGACTGTATTGTGATTCTGTATCTTCCTGACCATGTCTCTACAGAGCGTTTCTCCAGGGTCCTGTTGGACAAGGTGGGGATGGACAAGCTAAAGACGTGGGCTGCAGTGAACCGTGGGGCTATCGTGCTCTGCTGGTGAGTACCTCTACACTGTGGGATCCAATTCCTCTACCCAGTCACATATCCAAAACTCTAGCACAATAGACAAATCCTGGAAAGCAAGCAAACTGGTGCTTAACAGTCAAACTAAAATGAGTGTTAATAGATCAGAAATGATTCCAGCTCCTAACGATTTGAAGTTGGCTATATGCTTAGAAATTATCCCTTCTCCTTATTTACAATCCAATCCTTGCAAAACTTGTAAACAAACTGTAACTAGAAGAGTGCTTAGAAATGTGTACCATGACTCTCCGAGCCATGAAAATGGTAATTGAGGACAAACACTTCAGGAATACTAAACACCATCTTTTAACATGAAAAGTTGGAGCATGAGTAAGATTCCTTCGGTCTTCTTAGTTATTTGTCTTCATTTAAACATTAAAATCTTCCCATCACTATGGATTTTCTGCTTGTCATGTCATCCTAGCTGTTTGTTAGTGTAAAGGGAGAATAGGCAGAGGTCAGCTGGGGGTTAAGCATGTTTTACAGGGAGGCTGTGTTTGTATTCATTCTCCATATCACTGGGTGACGTGGGTGAGAAAGGAGCGGGCAGTGGGGCACAGCTGCCCATTGTGAAACAGCAACACAAGCAGTGGATTACGCTTCCTCAATAACTTTGCTTTCGTTTTCTTTTCTGGTTTCTCTGCCACTTCCCTTGTTCCTTTTCACTCTAGCCCCCGCCCCACCCCTTCCTCCATGTCTTGTACCACTGTTCCTCCACTGTCCTTCTGTAATCACTCTAAGACGTTAAACACAGAGATTTGTCTGGTTCTCTTTATAGCTACTATAGTCTGTAACATCAAATGATTTGATTTAATTCTAGCCATTCACTTATTTCTTTGCTATTGATATCCCAAAAATGTTTTTGGGTTAATTTAGTATGGGTAGAAATGTTGTTACTACCCAATAAGAGATGCATGGAAGAACTCCGTTTTTAAATGTGAGGTAGGTGTAAAGGTTACCTTCAACAAGCTATCTTGTTAGGGGGTTAGGGGAGGGTTTGGCCGGCGTAGGCCGTCATTGTAAATACGAATTTGTTTTGACCTGACTTGGCTAGTTAAATAAAGAAAACAATTACTCTTTTTTTTTTTTTTTTTTACAGTCTCCTGAACAGTGCAGATGGGAGTGTTGCCGGGAAGATCAGGGCGGCATTGAAGGCCTACGCTCCGGAACTACAGAAGATCCAGCACTGTAATGGAGTGGAAGCTCTGCTGGAGAAACTGGCCTGATACTGATTCCATGTCACATTTTCAGGTTTCATTACAACAGGTTTATCTGCTGAAAATGACTTCACTGGGGTTTCTATTGTTTTCTCATAGCTATCCATACTGTCCATCCAGTCCTTTGACCTAACCATCCTGGTGAAATCCCTACTATGACATGAAGATGGATGAAAAGAGACGCTGATTTGTACTGCATTTATGTCCAATTAATTTAGGTGTGTTTGTTTGTAAAGCTGTGGAGCAAGTATTTAAATGTAAAAGGCACAGAAATACTGGCAGTGTTTTTGTATAATTTTGTAACTGATCGGTATGAGTTGTACTAGCCAACTGAGGAGCTGGAATTAACTCAAATGTATTATTGCACATCAATAAACTATCCATTGGCAGAGAATGTCAGTAAGCAAATTTCATAATGAATTTTTTCATATATAAATCCAACTATAAATGTTAATCCTGATGGTGTGTGTGTCTGTTGTCACCAAGCTGTGGCCTGACCTATCAGTCTGCTGGAAGCCTGTTCATCTGTGACGGAAGCCTGCATGCTCACTAGCAAATTAATTTAGTGGGCCCTGCTCAGGTTCCATCTGTCCTGGTCTCTGTGATCCGGACGGACCCAGTCAGGCGAGAAACGGCTTATTCCTTCCAGAGACCTCACATTCTTCTAATCAGTTTAGAGGATTATCAATTGCTGCCTGTGTGGCCACTATTTGGGAGGTTTAGACTCATGGCAGTAGTCCGTCTGACTTGCACTACTTTTGAGGATTTTGTTGATCAAGACCAGTGAGAGCTGTGCTGTTATTTTGATTAGGCTCTTTTTAGCAAAAGGTCCAAAGTTTAAGCTAAAGTCTGCTATCTGCTAAGTGGAAATACATTAGCAATGTCTGGGTGGCTGGTGAACCTTGTGGGTGACAATGACAAAGTTGTCATCTACAAATATTTTCCGGAAGAAAATGTTTGCTTATCTAAGAGTACTTGTGAGGTTTTCCAAACATACAAAATCACAGTGACCTACTCTTTTAATCTTCTAGCTAGTGCGGAAACATTGCAAGCTGCTTCTATATTCATAAATCCGCTTTGGGAAGATTCAATCTTACACAGATACCCATACACGGGGTGAGGGGCAGTGTATTTAACCTGTCCGCAGATTCAGATTCATCCAGATGTTGCATTTTGAACATATTATTTCAGACCTGACTGGGTGCTGTTCTGCAGTGGATTATGTCTTCCTGTTGGGATGACATGGCCATAAGGACTGGAGGGGAATGGTGTGGTATAAAAAATATTTCTTTCAAAGGCCACATTTCTTCTGTATTGAAGTGTAATTGAAGGATAATTTTAACATGGAGAAGGGAATACACATTATTAGGAAAGAATAACGATATATTACTTTGTCAGCAGTATTTTTGCTACAATGCAAGGTTGCACTCAGCTCCTTGGGAGCGTTAATATCCAAGCATGTAATTGCATACAAGAATCTCATGTTTGGCAATGAAACTCATATCGATAGGAGAATCAATTTCTAAAACCTGAATTGAACCATTTATACAGTAAACATAGATGCATAGTAACTCCAGCTCCCTTGGAACCCCACTTGGTAGTGGCACAAGTCACAACATAATTGAATGGAAAGTCTCCCATAGTGCTCTTAAGAACATTCACCAGTGTGTCTATGGACCCCATCGTCACAGCATTCGGTTAACTTCCTGGCCGCCCTCTTGGTGAACCTGACCTTGCCCCGAGCCTTCACTGTGGAGGTGTACTCCTGAGACTTCAGCTTGGTGTAGTAGTCTGAGAACTTGTTGTACAGGATGGAGATGGGCATGCCGTTCAAAATGACGCCAAAGGAGATGCAGGTGAAAGCAAACAGCCGGCCCAGGATGGTCTCTGGAAACATGTCTCCATAGCCCACAGTAGAGATGCTCACCTGAGGGAGGGAGAAGGCCAATGGTCATTTTATTTGTAAACATTAACCTAGTCTCTACTGAACTTGCTAACATTGCCAGGACCTGAGCCCTGAGTTGACCCTTCATGATATGTGTGTCTGAGTGCCACAGTCTGCTCACGACAGGCCTGGGAGAAGGTCAAGGAGAGCCCATGTGAAAAGCTTTGTTTGGAGGATTAAATCGAGGGGAGGGCAAGTGAAGTAGTGCGTTTCTGGGGCTATATTCGCCGTCCGCCTGAAGGCTGTTGAATAATTGTTTAATGGAATTACAGAACTAAGGCACTAGGTTGGTCTACAGTGAATGGACATAGGACATGCATGTCCTCATCTAACGCCTTCAATTAATTAAGGTGGAAGTGCCTCAAGGGAAATCCTTAAATACCTTTCCCCTGGCAGAGTCCAGCCCTCCTTAATACCATTGTACATGTATGTACACTGAGTGTACAAAACATTAAGAACACCTTCCTAATATTGAGTTGCGCTGCAGCATTGCAGTTGTTGACACAAACCGGTGAACCTGGCACATGCTACCATACCCCGTTCAAAGGCACTTAAACCTTTTGTCTTGCCCATTCACCCTCTGAATGGCACACGTCGCAGTTGTCTCAAGGCTTAAAAATCATTATTTAACAAGTGAGGGATCATAGCTTTCACCTGGTCAGTCAGTCTATGTCATGGAAAGAGCAGGTGTTTTTAATGTTTTGTACACTCAGTGTATATTTTAGGCATGGGAAAATAGCTTCCACATCGGCTCTAAATAAACAAGGTCAGGACATCAGTGCAGGACAGGCTACTTGCAATGTGAAAGTCTCTTGAAGGTAACGGTGATAATAGGCTACTGTAGCCGACGGGTGTGATGAAGCGATCTATTTCTGGCAGCATGTTGGCGACCTTGGCCTACTTTAGTTCTGGGTGGAATTGAAATGTCAGTGAGCAGACATTATCAGAATCTGCAGGTAACAATTAATCAATGTTGCTCCATGTTGTGTAAAACCCAATGGTGTGTGTTGTCAACAGTACCACATAAACAGATACTCAGACTGCAGAGAAGGGCCAGAATGGGAAGAATAATGACAGTCCAGGATTTGCAAATTATTTTAATATACCAGTTACTTACTGGGACATAACAGTACAAACATTTCAAAATAAAGAAACTAATCAATTAAGTAATACAGTAATCTTTAGCCAATTACTTATAATGACCAATGAAATAGAATGGGATGACTTACAGCTGCCCACCACCATGCCTGAGGGATGCTGGTGAAGTTGGTCTGATGAACGTCATGCTCCACCGTGTACACCATGGCAGAGAAGGTGAGGATTCCCATGGCGATGAAGAGTAAGAGGCAGCCCACTTGCTGGTAGCACTGGCGCAGCGTGAAGCCGAACGCCCTCAGCCCCATAGAGTGACGTGCCAGCTTCAAGACACGGAAGATCCTCATCAGACGCATGATTCTCAGAACCTGGCCCAATTTGCCCACTCGGCCCACCGTCTCGATGTCTTGGTGCTTCCCGTAGTCGTCGTTCTCGAAGCACTCCAGCACCAGCTGCAGGTAGAGGGGTAAGATAGCGATCAGGTCCACCCCGTTCAGGACGCTTTTCCCGAAGCGCAGCAGGTCCGGCGTGGACACCAGACGCAGCAGATACTCCATGGTGAAGAAAGCGATGCAGAAGGTTTCCACATACTCCCCGTAGGTCTTCCCACTCAGCTGTCCCGTGGTGGTGGTATACTGCATCTCCTCCACCGTGTTCAGCGTCATGGCCACCAGGGACATCAGCACGAAGAAGCTGGAGGCCACGGCCATGAGCTTGGCGGTGACCGAAGAGAAGGGCTTCTCCATCAGGTTCCAGATGATGCGACGCGTCTGGCCCAATGCCATCCCGTGGAACAGCTCCTCATTCTCCTCCATCTCCACCTCTGCCTCCAGCTCCCGCTGGATCTTCAGCTGCTCGCTGAGCTCGTCCTGGCGCTCCTCAAAGGAGATTCGGCAGCAGCGGTGTGCGTTCTTGATCCTCACGCCCCAGTAGTTGATCTCCTCCAGGAAGTTCCTGGGACACAGCTCGTCCTTGATCCAGAGGACGCCCGTCCGGTAGAAGTTGAAAATGTTGTGGAAGATGTCTGGGTCTCTGTCGAAGAAGAACTCGTTGTTCTGGACAATATAGTCATCACACAGGTCCAGCTTCCTGTTGTGGTCCGTGTAGGTCGCCAGGCGGCCGATCCTGGTCTTGGGATACTTGGCAGCCACCCTGTAGGAGATCTGATACACCGTCCCACCCACGTTGATGTTCAGCATGTAGTTCTTCCCAGGAAATGAGAGGCCTCTTGTCGGGTATGCCATTACATCTTCATACTCTGCGTAGAGGTCTCGGCTGAGCTCTTGCATGGAGTTCCATGGTTTCACCAAGTTGTTCTGGGTGAAGGGAATATTGTGGTCCTTCTCTGGGTCCTTGTATGTGGGGCCTGTCCCCCCCACTTTGTAGTTGGGGAAGAGGCTCTGTCTCCTTTTCTTGAGCATCCCGGAGGTTTGCGCTAGGACCTGGTTAGATGCGGCGGCTCACTGAGTGGTGTGGAGGCATTACCACAGGTCTAATACCCTCTCCTGAGTAACTCACAGAAGTATACCAGCAGAGAGAGAGAGAAACAACCCTGACCGTCTAATGTTGCTGACTGAGAGGATCAGGGTGCTTTAGGTTTTAAATACTATTATCCTCTTCCAGTCCCTTTCCCCTATTCTCTCTCGCTCGCTCTCTCTGGCTCAATAGGTCTCTCTCCCCCCACCCTGACGTCTTTAATTTGCCTTACGTTCACAGATCAAGTTCCCTATCCAGAGCAGGGGACGCTCTGTGCTGTATTATGAACCATCGCTGACTTCCTGGTTAGTAGTAAAGAAAGGTTGAAGATGCAGCATAAATTCATCTTGAGTTTCAATGATTTTAACACTATCCCATCCTGTTATGTCAGCTAATGTCCAGTGTTTCCAGATTTCTTTGAAATATGACCTAGAATTAATTACAATGAGTGAAATAGTTTCTTCCAAATATGTTATGTTAAAAAGCAGCTTTTCTGTGTTTTAACAGTGTGGGCATATACCGGTCATTAAAAATATTAATGTGAATAGACCACTGATTGGCCATAAACTTTCAAAGTGATATTTTCACTGGACATTTACTTTAACAGCTCTTTACTGCAGAAATTGATATAAGTCCTAAGGAAATCTTTCCGGTCATCTCATGAGACGTGCTTTCAACTTACGCTGCAATACATGCAGCTGCTAATAGTTTAAAAAATATATAATATGTGGAGTATTATAATCCTAGAGGCACGATAACACACCTCAGGCCTGATGTCTACTGGCATGAACATGCAGACCGGAGTCCGGTGGAGGCAGGACAACTCCAGCAGATGCGGCCACCTGCACTGTATGCGAATTCACTGCTCGCCACCAAGTGGCTCCAACCACTCTCTCCCATGCAAATAGCTGAATGGCAAATTCCTACACCGTTTATTACCTGCAATGAAACTTTCCTGTGACCCTTTAATCCAATCGGTGGCAAACAAACTAGTTTAAAAGTGCTCTTAAGGAACCTGCCCTAGCGTTTGTGTAAATTCAGTTTCAACCACATTCCTTGTGTGCTTAATCCAGTTAGCCTTTTTGCTGTACACACACAGTCCTGCCCTCCACTGAAATGCAAATATTAGCTTGAAAGACTGATGATCAACCTCCAAGACATTTTTTCATAAGGGAAGGTGGGGGGGCTGAACACTGTTGGTTGCCCGGCAGTATTGGATGGGTTGTCTTTGGGATTACGATGCTGTGCATGATTTCCTGTACATCAAAGCTGAATCTACTGCCACCTGCCTCTGCAATTGTTATATCAGGCACAGCTCAAAATGCAGTTGAAATAGGTTGTCAATCATTAAATGGTGAAGCAATGCACTATTGAATAGCTACTAGGGCCACTACCTTAGTCCTTCAAAAAACCTTCTACACCCTAGGCTGTTTAGATTCTCTACCCTTCTCCAGAAGTGTGCACTCGTTCACCCCCCCGCCCGCATTTAAAAGCATTGGATTTTGGTGCATGCATGACATCCTCACACCCGTCAGTTCCTTTTGAATCAATGAGAGGTGTGTACAAGTGCACAATTCTGGAGAACTGTAGAGAATCAGAATGTAGCCCTAGACACATGGTGGTATAGGACAATACCCAATTCCTCAAAGTCAAGCAATGAGTTTTGAACGACTTGTGGGGGTTTGTTTTATTTGAAGTGATTGCAAATCATTTTCTTCACGATACAGTATTTAGTCCCCCATATTGTACAAGGTTAGAAAAGGTCACAGCAACAGAACACTAACATACAAAATAGTTTAACAAATTCAGTTTTAAATAAATTTTTACTCTACCCTGGTACTATGCCCAACCATAGCATAAATGTATTCTGTCAAATGTATACAATCTTATTTACAGTGGAACATTTGATCAAAGTGCTTGAGAGTCCTGATTCTGTTCTTAGGGGAAGAGGGTTTATGTACAATATTTTACAAATGTTGTAGTACCATCACATTCCCTATAGCGCTCATATTCCCAGCAGTCACACAAAAATGCTTTAGAAGAATGTGCTTCTGGAGGTAATGTTGATAAGAAAAAAACATACATATTTTAAGACAGTACTGCCTAAAGTATGCTTTTCATAAATATTCACAAAGACACTTGTCCACTAGGGGACTGAAGGTCAGAACCAGGATCTCTCCCTGCATCACCTCACTTACTTTTACACACACACACACACACAAACCCGTCCAGTGTTCTGAAGTAACGCAAGGTTGTAGTGTATGTAGTAGAATATTTTAAATGTTTTAGGGCTGAGGGGGAAGGAGTGAGGATGTAGAGGCCAAGCTCCCAAAATCCCTTGACACTTTGGACACACTAAGGTTGCGTTTAGACAGGAAGCCCAATTCTGATATTTTTTTCCTACCAATTGGTCTTTTGACCAATCACATCAGATCTTTTTCAGAGCTGATCTGATTGGTCAAAACACCAATTTGTGGGAAAAAGAAAAATACTCAGAATTTTGCTTCCGGTCTAAACACAGCCCGAGTGTGAGTAAGACAATTCATATTCACACAACTAAATGACAAACATCCCCCAGAAAACACAACTTCATGCTCTTCAGAAGGCATCTGGTTGTAACTCTGCTAAAGAAGCGGAGGTCATTGGCATGGAGACCAAAGGGTCAGTAAACCGATGGGGGTCATTTGGAAGGTTGGTTATGACAAGTCATCTTCTGTATTCACCACTGATATCTGGAAGGAAGACAAAAGCACAATGGAAAGTGGTCATTCGCAGAGAATCTAACCAATTAATAAGCGCTAAAGTGGTCTGGCTGCCAGTAACAATCCTTGCTTAAGATAAGCAGTTTAGAGGGTGGTAAATGTACGGTCATCAGTCACAAAGCAAAAGGGATTGGAAGTTATTTACAGAAGTGATGACTCCCAATCGCTCAAGTAGGCTTCTTACTGCTGGGTATGTGTGGCCTATATTGGAGGTGTGCCTGCTGATATCAATGTTGAGGTCTTCTTCTGTGGTTTTCAGGTACACTGGATTGTCGAAGTTCATGCTCTTTTTATTCTTCAGCTGCCAGTTACGCCACATCAAGTAGCCTCCTGCTGCAGCCATGGCAAGCAACACTGGAGAGAGAGGCCAAAACATAAACAATACTGTATTAGTTTTAGATGGTTCAAATCCAGCTATCAAGCGCTAAGGTTACCATAGCACCTGTGCTATTCAAGGGTTACTTTAATAAATCACGACATTCAATCAATAACTACTACAGCTAGGAAAACCATTGAAGTATTGCTCATCCACCCATTTATCATACAGTTGAGTGGCCTTTAATGCATGATTCATAGACAGCTGCAGGGGTCAAAAGAAAGTGCGAGGTGGAGAGGCAGAACGAGCCAGAAAGCGAGAGAGGGGCAGAGATGGAACGAGGCAGAGAGGGCTGGGCAGTAGCACTTACACACAGGGAGGATAGCCCAGGCAGCTGCAGATCCTCTAGCTGTCCAGTTCACCTCATGGATGGATGTACTGCTGTTGGCTTCTACAATAGAACATGTTAGTCTAAGAGAGAGCGTGAATCTTTTGAGGGACCATGTAAAAATAAATACCAAAATGTCATATACTGGTTCATGTCTTTTTCTCCATTAGTCTCTTATTAGTGTAAGATCAGTTGTAACCAGTACAATACACTTGACTAGTCATGAGTAATTATGGGTGATATGAGACGAGAGTCAGGGTAGTGACAGGACTTGCAAACAAGTGGATGAATGGAAGGGGGAACAAAGATGAGGATCTTTTCTGCTTGTCTGCCAACTGGGGTGGTTCTGTGGTTTCTGGCAACCCCTTGGGGGTCAGCTGGGCTCTGGAACATTATGGCCAACAGGAGCTGGCAGGGCCAGGCTGACAGACCAGTGTTTTGGCACAATCATAGTCTAAGGAAATCTACCACTTCTTTTCACAAAGGGCTCAATGTACTGGCTCAATCAGGGAAGAAAAACTGGGTCTTACCAGCAGGGACAGGTTTGGGGACAACTTTTGGCACTGTGGTCGCTTTGAACGAAACAAAACACTGGGATCAGTGCAACAAAAGGAATCTTACAAATTAAAACATCCTAGAAAAATCTGCCTAAAGAAATTACTTAAAAAGCGGGCTTATCAAATGAAATGCAATATTTGTTACTTTGATTATGGTCCTAAATTATGCATGCGTCCAACAGCTAATTGTAGATGTCACTTAAAAGTTCCTTTAAATATTTTTGGGTGGATTCCTGGGTGGATGGCATACTTCCTAAATCCACATAAACGTTCCCGTGCTGTCAAACACTCCAGACATCTTTACATGACTGACCAACTTCCCATCTTCCCACCACCTCACAACACCCCTAGTAGCAGGCTGCATGCTAATAGGCTAATCACCATGACGATAGGTAGCACAGAGGAGCCAGACCAGACAGTCATTCTAGTATGAAATTATTCTAGAAACTCAGAACCCAAAAGGCCATGAAACTAGTCCACTGGGTCCTGATGCATGGCTATCCAGGCAGGCCAGGCAGGCAGGCGGTTGACGGCTTTACCTTGGGGGTGAGTGGGATGTATTAGAGCTTTCCCATCATCCTTTGAGGGAGCTGAAGGTGTCACTGTCATAAGGGAGCAGAGTAATGCTTTGGCAAAACTTCAAAATCGAACATTTACATTCTGACTACAGAAAAGCTTGTTACCATGCAATACACGGCACTTTGTCATGTTACATTATGTGAAATGAATTCCTAGTGGAAAAACATGTAAATGGAGCAAAGCGAAGCACAAACGCAAAGTACCGTATGAAGACATGCAGAAGTGATCCAAAATTAAAGGAAAATAACACCCAATTTCTATACTAAATGTCCAGCTAACCATAGAACCCTGTTCAGATATTCACTGGCCAAAGGAATTGGGAAATGAGCTGAAAACGGTAGGACCTATAGTAAGTACTCTATAGTAGTGACAAAACAGAAGGCGGCTCTTATGATTATGAATGGCATGAATTAAATGAAGCAGGAATCATGTGAAGCGGGAGAGAATGATTGGTTGAGATCAGACGAATCAGCAAAATATAAATCACCATACTAGACTCATTACTGGGCCTAAATCACCTTTATTCATTTGATAATTTAATGAAGATTAAATGGAGTAATAAATGCATAGGCTACCCTCTTCATGACACGCATAAGGGTATAGTAGGTGATAGATCTTGGTTAATGTCAGTGGGGTGCATAACCTGAGTGAGCGAGCTTTACCCCGTTAGTACCCTCTAACCAAATTGGACCCCTTTATCACACTCAAAATGAAAAGCATCAAAGCACACGACCAGATAGCCTAGCATTCCATCAATAACCAGACAATACATTAAATTAATTCAGTTTGCTTCTATTGGGGTATAAAACATGTCACTTTCTGGATCAAATCTAAAAAGCTGTATGTAAAGCATTCATCAAGTGACAGGCGTCCCTCTTATTGGCCCCTACATCACCCCCGGTCCCCTCCCCCGTCCTCTCTGCGTCCTGGGTGGTTCATTCACTCAGAGGGTGTTTAAAAGCCTGGCACCATCTCTACTATATACCCAAACATCAGTGGATCTGGGAGGGAAAGAAAAGAGACCAACGCAGCACACAGAGGCTTCAGCAGGGCAGGGGGACGGAGCAGAATGCAGGCAAACAGAGACTCAGCCTGGATACAGCAGTCAGGCTTCACAAGCAACACATTTGAACTGCCACACACACACACTCTTACTTAGATATGCCACACACACACACACACAAAAAGGGAGGGGAGAGAAATGATTGGGTGACTCAGAAGCAGAATGGGAATGAAAGGCCTCTAAAGAGACTGAGGGCTCCTGAAAACTCACTCAGCATCACAGCACAGTTTAACCCCTTGCTGCCCGACCTGATGGGGCTAACGTTACAGTACTTGCCTGGTCTGCAGTGAAGGCCGTCTGAGGCGAGCGTCTGGTCTTGCGGACACACACACGTGTACTTCGGGGAGTATTTGTTGATCTGTGGAGCTGGCAGGCACATGTAGGCACAGCCTCCGTTCAGACCCTTCTCATTGCACCAGTTTGTTCCTGTATGGAATCAAAAGTGAGGAAACCAGTTAGCCATTGCCTGTGCTCCGTATTGCTAGGCTTCATTACGTAAAGTACTATTGTTACTTTGCCTTTAAAAAGTCAGATGAACTTAGGCACTCCTACATGACAGCATGTTTATAGCCTAAAAGGAGGTCCACTTTTGTGGGGGGAGAGGCTAGCCAGTTAGATAGGTAAAGGTCAGAAATAAGGATCCTGCCATGCACTGTAAAGGAACAGCATACCACCGAGGGTTACAGGGGTCAGGGGAGTTGACTTAAGACTGTGGCGGGGAGCTGTGAATTTCAGTGGCAGCAAACAAATCCCTACCAAGCCCCTGTGTTCTAGACTAACCAACACAGCTGCTCAAATCCCTGTGTTCTAGACTAACATAGCCCTCCCAAACCGCTGGTCAGGCCAATGCCCTCATCTGGCAGCCTTACCGGACAGCTGGATTAGCTCATGGTAAACAATGATGTCCTGCGGCTCGTTCAGATTGCTTGCCAGGGTAATCACATCAGCGCCTGTGAACTTGTTTGCTCCATAGATCGCCTCGTTCTCCCCATCTGTCCAGAACACTCGATCCTGAAACAGTCACACAGAGTCACACACTCTAAACCCCAGAGCAAATGCCAGAAGAGATGGCTTGGGACCCATGCTTCAGAGAAGGAAAGACCATTGAAGACTGGAAAGGCTATTTATTCTAATACTGTGCCAGTAATTCTGTCAAATGCCACAGGAGGTCAACGTTATTGACCCCACACATATGGAGCAAATAATAGGCTTTACAGTTGAAAGAAAACCAGTTACAGTATGATGAAATCAACTCATCTCTTTAAAACAGAGTTTCAGCAAATTACCAATTATGAATGTCAATAGAAGCATGAGTTTGCTTGGTAACGCGTTTGCTCTGCTCTGTAACATCAACACATGAGAAGCAATCAAATTGCTGATGTAAAACAAACCCATCTCAACCATCAACTGCCCTGGCAATATGCTACATGTATATCAGGGCGCCTCATCGAGTCCCATAGCCGCACCTCGAACACAGTGAGAGCGAAGGGGTGAGCCAGGTAGTCTGGGGACTGCAGCACTTTCCTACGGTTGTCTCCATTCAGGTCCACACTACAGAGCATGTGCAGCTTGGAGTCCACCCAGTACAGTCTACTCTTGATCAGGTCTGAGAAGGGAAGGAAAATCATAGGTTTATCAAACCGTGTAGCTGTGAAAGCAGTTGAACTTCTTCAAAAGATTAAATGCAAATTAGGTATAACATAGCCTGACCCACCTAGAGTGATTCCATTGGGCCACTGAATATCAGTCTGGACCAGGACCTGCCTGTCAACCCCGTTCATACCAGACTTCTCAATCTTCGCTGGTTCACCCCAGTCTGACCAATAGAGGAATCTAGAACACCAGCCGAGAGAAGAGCAGCAGTTCAGAAGGAGTAGCTCAAATTATTATGAGGGTACAAAAAAGATGGAAGCAGAAATTTGGACCCCAATACAATATAGTAACTTTACCCAGAGAGTGGATCCACAGCGATGGACGCAGGCTCTTTCAAACCGCTGCTGAAGAGAACTTTCCGCTTGGTGCCGTTGAAGTTGGCCACTTCAATGGTCTTGGTGCCGAGGTCTGACCAGTAGATGTTGTTATAGATCCAGTCCACAGCGATCCCCACAGGTGTCACATTATCAATCACCTTCACATGACTTCCTACGTCTCCTCGCTTATCCAATACAGTGCTAAATGGGGGTGGGAAACATTTTGGTATTTGGTTTGAGTTTACCCATATTGACCCAAAAACCTAGTTCATAGGGTTGAGGTTGAATAGCTGGTCAGTATAGGAAACATATGCTCAGTGAACTTTACCCTTCTTAGAGCTTACTATGTAAAATGCTTTCATACCGTTTTGAAAAACCAATAGCAACAAGATGTCCAGGGCAAGGTGAACATTGCCCCCATATCCCCATGATAGACTATCTCTGGGGTTTCGACCTCATCTTATGGAGCTGGGACATGTCTCTACCTAAAGATGGCCCTCTGGCTCAGGTCTGCCCAGAAGATCCTCTGCTGGGTGAAGTCTGCGTCCAGTGCCACCGTGTTCCGCAGCTGCTCCACGATCTGGGTGTACTCCCGCCGCTCCAGACCCAGCTTCCGGATGTCCCGGCGGTTAGTGAAGATTAGACAGGGTTCCTTGCCTTGTGGGGAGGAGAGAGAGTCACAGACACTCTTTCATACTGACAATACAATGGAGCCCTTTAGGTCTGTTCTGTCCTCATGTTAGTTAGAACAACACTGATCACAAGTCAGTTAGAACAACACTGATCACAAGTCAGTCAGATGGCACCAAAACATCCCAGCTGGACTTCTCAGATCAAGGTTGTTGTAGTAAATGACATCACTGCTATTCTGTTTGAACTTGGATTCCATTATAGTGGTGTTGTGTTTTCTTGAAATATTAAAAGCTGTTTGAGAATTAAAATGCATGTATCAGGAAAGGATATGAAACGTACAGAGTGTGTTGGATCTGATTAGAGCCGACAAAATGAGTGATGCTACTTCCCTCTAGCTCGCTAACATCTGCTTCCACATCCCTCCATCATGTGCTCCTGGGGTTACAATATGGTGTATACAGGCCAGGGTGAGCCAACTTACCCACAGCCTTGCACACTCCTGTGGTGGGGTCCATCTGGTAGCTGTTGTGGCACTCGCACTTATAACCTCCCTTCAGGTTGATACAGATCTGACTACAGATCCCAGGGTTCATACATTCATTGATGTCTGCAAGGAGGGTGGGGAAAAACAGGAAGTCACACACACAGTAGGAAGTCAAAATGAAAAAAGACACCAAGTCAAATGTAAAAGAGATACCAACCGGGTGGATTATCTTCAAAAACGTATTAAGTCTCAATACCCCATTGCAAATATGAACTGAAAATGACTTTATTTTGTATGAGAGTTTATATTGAATAGTGTATGGGTTAATCATTGTATATGACACCTACCTCCACAGGTCTTGCGGTCTATGAGCTGCAGTCCAGGGGTGCAGTCACACTCGTAGCCAATCACCATGTCCCTGCAGATGTGGGAGCAGCCTCCATTGTTCAGCAGACACTCATTCAGGTCTGAAACAGTAGAACGGTGGTTACTAAAGCACTTCATTCACAAACAAAGGCCTGCCTGAAATCAATCAAAATCAGTGGACTGGCTTTGGCTGGCTGAATGACAGTGGTCTAATGCGATTGCTGTAGTGTTGGATAAGGAAAATACGAGGTAGCCTGCATGGGACAGGTCAAAAGGTTAAATCTATTTAGTAGTATACACTAACACACCCATAGCCAAAATACTTGTATCAATACCACAATGTACTGCAGTCTACAACCAGCGCATTATTGCAACTTGTGAATAAACACTAGACAAGCTAACCCACTTTAGTAAATGCACACATAATAAATAAAATGCCATTTAGCAGACGCTTTTATCCAAAGCGACTTAATCACGTGTGCATACATTTTCCCATGGGTGGTCCCGGGAATCGAACCCACTACCCTGGCGTTACAAGCGTCTTCTCTACCAACTGAGCTACAAAGGACACCTCATGATTCTTCATAGTGAATAAACAATCACAAGACGGCTCCTTAATAAAACACAGGTTTGGCTCTCATCCACTTACTGCAGTCTTTGATGGGCTCGTCGCTCCAGTCTGGACAGTCCCGGGCCTTGTTGCACACTTTACTCATCTCTATACACTCTCCACTCCGACACTTGAACTTGTCAGGGCCATTGCACTGTGTCACTGGGTTGTGAAAGAGAAAAGTGGCATTTCAAAGTAGTGATAATGGAATGCTACACAAAGAGGTACAGTGGTATAACAGAAGTTGGTGTAGGAGGTTGAGAGTCAACCATCTGCATGTCCCCCATAGCAACAGAGGTGTGCTAAATTGCAGGTGCAGCCAAAGCAATTAATTTGTGTGTTTGAAGTCAACACTTCGATAACATCATTACTGTAGTCCTGAAATATCAAATTATAGTATTTATTGAGCATCTTTTGACCCAATTCATACAGGAATAACAGTATTTATGGGATGAGGAACACTGAAGAAAACAACCTTGTTTAGGAAACGTTCTCTAGCAACGGAAACAGTTTTTGTTAGTAGTATAATTTTGGAATGACATTACTTCTGGTTGAACACACTCACAGTTTTTGCAGTTGACCTCATCGGTGCCATCTGCACAATCATGCAAACCGTTGCACTGTCTGCTGCCGTGGATACAGTTGCCATCCTCACACTTGAACTGGTCCGGTCTGCAGGTACGAACAGCTGAAGAGGAGAGGACACACACAGACCTGTTAGACCATTAACCCTTACACACACACACACTACACTAACCACCATGATTTTGCACCACCTTTATTTGCACCCTCATAATGCCTACACCAGTGGTCTCCAACCTTTTTTGGTCACTGCGCCACCAACTGAATTTTGCACTACCCGGAGTACCCCTGAAGTACCCCTTCATGTGGATTTTACCAGTAAGCATATGGTCTCATGAGTCTTCTTAAGTATCCCCTGTGGATAGGCTAAGTACCCCCCAGGGGTCCTAGTACCCCTGGTTGAGAACAACTGGCCTACACCATGATCAACAGACACAAATGATAGCTGCTATGAACACTGAATATAGAGACAAGGATGCATTTTATGACCAGAGCCTTTTATTGCAATATACATTTATTGTAATGGAAGGCTCTGTTTATGACTACATGAAACCAGCTCAATCTCTGACCTGTGCAGCAAAAAGGAAAAAAATTAAAGAAATACTCAGCTGGCCTGCTGGAACGTACAGGTGGTCCGATTAAGCCTCTCCACACTTACAACAGTTGGCTTCGTCGCTGCCGTCCTTACAGTCAGGGTCTCCGTCACATCGCCACTTGCGGTGGATGCACTCCCCAGACCCACACTGTGTCTCGCTGGACGAACATTTGGCCGGCGGCGTGGGTTGGCGACCACATCGCTGAGGGGACTCATCCGATTGGTCCTGGCAGTCCACGTCATCGTCACAGACCCAGTTGCCAGGGATACAGGTGGCATTGCCACACTGGAACTCACTGGGGCCACAGGAGGACGGGGCACACTCCTGCTCATCACTCCCGTCACCACAGTCGTCCTCTCCGTTACAGACGAAGTTACGGGAGATGCAGCGGCCGCTCGCACAGGTGAACTCCAGCGAGGAGCATGTGATGTTACCTGTGAGAGGGAACAGAGTTCCCATTACCGTGATGCTAATGTAGAAATCAACAACCAATGTGTACTCCTAAATTTACTGTTTTGGAATTAGTCTAAGCAGAAACAGTTAAGAAATAAGTTTCCTGTCACACATTTTACATTTTAGTCATTTAGCAGACGCTCTTATCCAGAGCGACTTCCAGTTAAGTGAGTGCATACATTTTCATACTGGCCCCCCGTGGGAAACGAACCCACAACCTTGGCGTTGCAAGCGCCATGCTCTACCAACTGAGCTACAGGGGACTAGGGTGGTTTGTGAGGGACACCTCCCATCATACGGCTATCAGTCTAATCAACTCACCACAGTTCATTTCATCCTCTCCGTTATCGCAGTCCTTCTCTCCGTCACACTTCCAGAAGACGGGGATGCATTGGGTGGACCCGGCCCCACAGCTAAACTCATTCACACGGCAGGTCCTGGTGTCTGCAGAGCACATGGATGGAGAGGGATTTAATTTATATGCCTTTAGTGATTTGAGTGTTTGAGATGGGAAATGCTTAACACACAACTGCAGGGTGGTAGTGGGCTAGGCTGGCTAATGGAGCTCGGAGCGATTTATTGAGCAGAGCACCCAGTTCAACCCCTCATTTGAAATTTGTTTAACCACATACGTTTGCTACATTTAAAAATCAATCCGGTGAGTACATAAGTCAATTGAGCTACAGTGGGGGAAAAAAGTATTTAGTCAGCCACCAATTGTGCAAGTTCTCCCACTTAAAGATGAGAGAGGCCTGCAATTGTCATCATAGGTACACATCAACTATGACAGACAAAATGAGAGAAAAAAATCCAGAAAATCACATTGTAGGATTTTTAATGAATTTATTTCAAATTATGGTGGAAAATAAGTATTTGGTCAATAACAAAAGTTTCTCAATACTTTGTTATATACCCTTTGTTGGCAATGACACAGGTCAAACATTTTCTGTAAGTCTTCACAAGGTTTTCACACACTGTTGCTGGTATTTTGGCCCATTCCTCCATGCAAATCTCCTCTAGAGCAGTGATGTTTTGGGGCTGTCGCTGGGCAACACGGACTTTCAACTCCCTCCAAAGATTTTCTATGGGGTTGAGATCTGGAGACTGGCTAGGCCACTCCAGGACCTTGAAATGCTTCTTACGAAGCCACTCCTTCGTTGCCCGGGCGGTGTGTTTGGGATCATTGTCATGCTGAAAGACCCAGCCACGTTTCATCTTCAATGCCCTTGCTGATGGAAGGAGGTTTTCACTCAAAATCTCACGATACATGGCCCCATTCATTCTTTCCTTTACACGGCTCAGTCGTCCTGGTCCCTTTGCAGAAAAACAGCCCCAAAGCATGATGTTTCCACCCCCATGCTTCACAGTAGGTATGGTGTTCTTTGGATGCAACTCAGCATTCTTTGTCCTCCAAACACGACGAGTTGAGTTTTTACCAAAAACTATTTTGGTTTCATCTGACCATATGACATTCTCCCAATCCTCTTCTGGATCATCCAAATGCACTCTAGCAAACTTCAGACGGGCCTACGACATGTACTGGCTTAAGCAGGGGGACACGTCTGGCACTGCAGGATTTGAGTCCCTGGCGGCGTAGTGTGTTACTGATGGTAGGCTTTGTTACTTTGGTCCCAGCTCTCTGCTGGTCATTCACTAGGTCCCCCCGTGTGGTTCTGGGATTTTTGCTCACCGTTCTTGTGATCATTTTGACCCCACGGGGTGAGAACTTGCGTGGAGGCCCAGATCGAGGGAGATTATCAGTGGTCTTGTATGTCTTCCATTTCCTAATAATTGCTCCCACAGTTGATTTCTTCAAACCAAGCTGCTTACCTATTGCAGATTCAGTCTTCCCAGCCTGGTGCAGGTCTACAATTTTGTTTCTGGTGTCCTTTGACAGCTCTTTGGTCTTGGCCATAGTGGAGTTTGGAGTGTGACTGTTTGAGGTTGTGGACAGGTGTCTTTTATACTGATAACAAGTTCAAACAGGTGCCATTAATACAGGTAACGCGTGGAGGACAGAGGAGCCTCTTAAATAAGAAGTTACAGGTCTGTGAGAGCCAGAAATCTTGCTTGTTTGTAGGTGACCAAATACTTATTTTCCACCATAATTTGCTAATAAATTCATTAAAAATCCTACAATGTGATTTTCTGGATTTTTCTTTCTCAATTTGTCTGTCATAGTTGACGTGTACCTATGATGAAAATTACAGGCCTCTCATCTTTTTAAGTGGGAGAACTTGCACAATTGGTGGCTGACTAAATACTTTCCCCCCCCACTGTATGTGTTCAACAAGATCAGATTGAAGTGTGAGTGTACACACACTGTCCTGTTTAAACTCCCTCAGTCTTTACAGGGTCTGTATCGTATAGATGAGATTATAGCCTCCACAACAACTAGGTTATTATAACCCAGAGAACGTCTGAGCCCATTCAGAACATTTACAAGCTTCTATCTAGAGTGGCTATTGATCCACCATACAATGCCTGTTGTTTAGGGATCAAACCTGGAGGAATTTCAGAGATTTCCATCCCTCATTCCCTTCTACAAGAATATCTATCAGGAACTGATCTGTTCATCATGCGGATTGAAACAGTGGGTTCATGTGTAGCAGGGAGGTCTGTCTTGAGTGATAAGGTAAGAATGTTCTGGTAAGAACGCTAGCTACCAGATCAATGAAGCTCAATTTCTGAGTAATGCACATGAAAGCATGCTGGGCTTTATCAGTCAGAGAAAGGTCCGTTTGTGAAGCATTAGATCCACATCAAAGAAGATAGGCTCTCTCTGTAGGAGTTAATGTAACGTCACAGACACGGGACTCAGACAGTCTAATGTATGATGGCAGATGAACGGGCCGACATGCTGCTTTGAAAATATTATTCTTAACATCTAACCTAACACACTTTTGGGAGGGGATTGCTCAAAGCCAACTGCTCCTATGAAAACTGAAGAATTAAAAAAGTTCTTCATTTCCACAGTATTTAGGTCTGGTGACACATTCTCTCTCTCGCTCACACAGCTCACACAACCCCCCCCCCCCCCCCCCCCATCCATCCATCCATCCATACTGGTCAAACAAACCAGTGACATGACATCTTGACCTGCTGCATGTACCCACCCTTCCCACTGTGTACTTCAGTGGAATACATTCTTGCTGCCCACACGTTGTTCCATTTGGAACATTCAATTAATGCCCTGTTAATGTAGCCACCTGGTGTCTCTATGCAACTGAACTATGTGAGGTGTGGAAGGGTGAATGGAGGACACACTTAGAGCAGTGTAGCTGAAAGAGCCAGAGTAACCTGATCCACTCTTGATCCAAAGCCATATGTAGAAACTGACACAGCTGTTGTATTGGCTGACAGTTCAAAGCACATGGTGATTCTGGACAACCTGATCCATTTATGTATTATGCTAGACCAAGGCTAAACAAAGTTGAAGAAATGTAACTCGACTCATGAAAAGTGAGGGCAATGAATTGAAGACTGTCTTATACTGTATACAATTATTGATCTAACAAACTACTGAATATGAAGGACTGAAGAACAGATTTCCTATCTGGGGCTGGATCCACATGACTTACGGCACACTTCCATGCGCTCGTCAGATCCATCCTCACAGTCTGGCTCTCCGTCGCAGTGCCATCTCTTGGGGACGCATTGGCCGTTTCGACAGACAAAGTCCACTTCTGCACAGGTTTTGCGAACTGCAAAGGCACATAGGAATAGTGTGTTATAATAATACAGTATGCTAGCTTAGGAATCAAAATGGGAAACACAGTAAGTGAAGCATCTTTGTATTTCAGTGTGAGGCCAAAAATCTGCTCCCAAGTTGGCTGACTGCCAACCAAAAATAAGAGCCAAGTCATACAGATCCATACTAATGATTCACAATGTTCCCTTTAGATCCTAGTCTGTAACCACGTTCCCATCCACAGTTGAGTGTAAAGTCATACCGTATAAAAAGGAAATCACGACAGCTGTGACGGAAACAGGACGTTTCTGTAAAAAATTAAAAAAGCCGACTATTTTTTCGTTCGACATTTGAGTCTAAAATTAATTATGCAAGAAATGGCAGTGGAAACACCTTTATGCATAGATATTGATACAGTGAGGGAAAAAAGTATTTGATCCCCTGCTGATTTTGTACGTTTGCCCACTGACAGACATGATCAGTCTATAATTTTAATGGTAGGTTTATTTGAACAGTGAGACAGAACAACAACAACCAAAACCAGAAAAACGCATGTCAAAAATGTTATAAATTGATTTGCATTTTAATGAGGGAAATAAGTATTTGACCCCTCTGCAAAACATGACTTAGTACTTGTTGGCAATCACAGAGGTCAGACGTTTGTTGTAGTTGGCCACCAGGTTTGCACACATCTCAGGAGGGATTTTGTCCCACTTCTCTTTGCAGATCTTCTCCAAGTCATTAAGGTTTGGAGGCTGACGTTTGGCAACTCGAACCTTCAGCTCCCTCCACAGATTTTCTATGGGAATAAGGTCTGGAGACTGGCTAGGCCACTCCAGGACCTTAATGTGCTTCTTCTTGAGCCACTCCTTTGTTGCCTTGGCCATGTGTTTTGGGTCATTGTCATGCTAGAATACCCATCCACGACCCATTTTCAATGCCCTGGCTGAGGGAAGGAGGTTTTCTGGATTTTTTGTTGTTATTCTGTCTCTCACTGTTCAAATAAACCTACCATTAAAATTATAGACTGATCATTTCTTTGTCAGTGGTCTGGGGCGGTGTGTCACAGCATCATCGGACTGAGCTTGTTGTCATTGCAGGCAATCTCAACGCTGTGCGTTACAGGGAAGACATCCTCCTCCCTCATGTGGTACCCTTCCTGCAGGCTCATCCTGACATGACAATGCCACCAGCCATACTGCTCGTTCTGTGCGTGATTTCCTGCAAGACAGGAATGTCAGTGTTCTGCCATGGCCAGAGAAGAGCCCGGATCTCAATCCCATTGAGCACGTCTGGGACCTGTTGGATCGGAGGG